TATATATATATATATATATATATATATACATATATATATATATATTTGGCTAGATAACTGATGATAAATATATATTTGGCTAGAACATGTCTTAATGAATTCACTATATATTTAGCACTTTTTCTTTTTTCTATCATTTACTTTTCCATCATTTTGCAATATAAAATCTCTTCTACTCCAGTATTAGCAATATTTATACAATAGAACACCAAGAAGAGGAACTTACATATTAAGTATTCATTTGCATGTATGCCCTGTGGACCCAAGTACTTACATATCAGGATCCTGACTGTCACACTAAAATAAATTTTATGTTAAGGAATAAATAGTTTTAGTATTAGCAGTAATGATAATACTAAGAGCAACCATTTGTGAGTAGCCACTAAGTATTAGGGACTTTACTATGTGCTTTTTGTATGTTATGTCTAATACTCAAATAATCCTGTGAATTATTATTATCCTCATTTTTAAAAAGATTTTCTTTATTTGAGAGAGACAGAACAAGCAGGGAAAGGGACAGAGGGAGACAGAGAAGCAGACTCCCCATTGAGCAGGGAGCCCAATGCGGTGCTCAATCCCAGGACCCTGGGATCATGACCTTAGCCGAAGGCAGAGGCTTAACAAACTGACCCATCCAGGCACCCCTTACTGGCCTCATTTTAAGGATCCTTTAAAAAGTTTTGGTGAAGTCAAAATCTTTTTTCTGGGGTACCCAACTAATCACTGGTGGAAGTATGGTATGAACCAGACCTGTCTGTCCACTGTTTGACCCTCAACTCCGGTATAACTGTTTTGTCTATAGCTAGTTATCTCCTTTGGGTTAGACTGCCAAGAAGGCCAAAATCAGTCTCAATCTTTTTATTCGCTCAAACACTTTGTAAGGGTACAGTCTTGATCTAAAACCACGAAGATCTCTTAAGAAATGTGTCCCCATTTATGCAGTTTACAGTCTTGTTGAACATAAGGGAGATGAAGTGAGCAAGAGAAATTTTCTTGAGTTTACTAGATCAGATATTGAAATTAAGAGAGGAGATATGTTGTCTGAGGTGAAGTAAAGGGTTAATTATGATAATAGCAAATATTACTGAGAGCTGTGATAAAGTCTTCTAATACATGTTAGCTCATTTGATCCTGATAAATGGCTGTATGAGGTAAGTTTATTTATTACCCCTATTTTATAGACAGGGAAACTAAGGCACAGTGACATTAAGAAAATTGTCTATGCACCCTGAACTAGTAAGTGGCATACAGAAGGAGGACACACACAGATAGGAAATTTTGAGGACATGGAAGTTTCTAAGCCACTAAGAGAACCGCCTCTTCTCCCCATTTCTATAATCACTGGAGAGGGGTGAACATTACTGCTCCTAGGACTCTGCTGGAAAACAAGTCAGTTCACTTCCAGAACAAATAACCCCGGGAAGCTTAATGAATTGTAAATGTAGCATGAAAATGTATTTTCATCCTCTGTGTTCATTCTAAATGCAACTTTTTTAAAAACCGATAACATTTATTAGAGAAACATTACTTGTTAAGTGCATTAGAGATTTAGATTCAGCTAAAGTAATTGGTACTGTTTCATAACCTGGATCCTTGGAACAATTTAATGTAGCAATAGAACATTTGTTTCTGCAGCAGGGGGGAGGTTTGGCACAGGTGGGCTCTTCTACACAACGCTGGAGGGGCAAAGGATCAGCTGGGGTCTTCAGTTGCCATGGAGACCCACAATGCATTTATCTTATTATTCCAATGACTGCTACTCTCCTGCTGGTTGTCTGATTTCATCCCACCACATTGTCCTTCCACATGCCCACTGGTGTGCCTTTAAGCAAACACAATGTGCTTTGGACAATTTGTGTGAGATTCCCAATATTGTCCTCCAAAACACAGTTTAAAGTGCACTGTGACAGTTCTCTGTCTAGATAAATTGTAGTGAATCCTTTAGAGGGTTACCAATTACTTGTAAAGAATTTGTCCCTTAATTTGCTTTTTTAAAAACACTGCATGTTGGGGCACTTGAGTGACTCAATTGGTTCAGCCTCTGACTCTGTTTTGACTCACATCGTGATCTCAGGGTTGTGGGATGGAGCCTCACGTCTGGCTCTGCACTCAGGTTGGAGTCTGCCTGAGATTCTTTATTGGTCCCCCTCTAGGACTCCCCTTGCTCACGCTAAAATAAATAGATAAGTTAAAAAAATTTTAAAACACTGCATGTTTATCAAGATTTGCCTAAACTAAGAAATTTCATAATCTCCTAGTTTTAAGTCCAGCCTATGGTTTAATTAGGACAATTTAAAGAATTCAGAATTTAATCATCTAAAATACTAACCACTCAAATAAAACAGCAAGAGAATAGACTGATTAATTATAATAAAAGACAAAAGGTGTTTTTACTGTTAGAAACATGCTGCCCTTAAATATATGATCTCTCTAGGTAGATAAGATGTTGAAGGTGGTATAAAAATTCAACTTAAAACAGGCTTGCAGGGGTGTGTGGGTGGCTAAGTCCGTTAAGCGTCTGCCTTTGGCTCAGGTCATGATCCCAGAGTCCTAGGATGGAGACCTGCAGCCAGCTCCCTGCTCAGTGGGGAGTCTACTTCTCCCTCTGCCCCTCTCCCCTGCTTGTGCTTGCTCTCTCTCTCAAATAAATAAATAAAATCCTTTAAAAAATAAAATAAAATAAAATAAAATAAAATAAAATAAAATAAAACTTGCTTGCACAGTATTTAAGTTAATAATTTCAGCTTACCAAAACTTGTTACTGCTCTAGTATCACACAGATGGCTCATGAGAAAAATCAAGGAAATGTTTTCTTCTCTCTCAAGCCAACATAAACAATCTTAGGTTCAACAGGTGAGGAGCTGTTTACCAGACTTATTTAAAAAATCACATTTCAAAAAAATTCATGTTTCAGAATCATAAAGAAAATGGAGTGAATTCCTATTAGCTCATTTTCTTTTCAAGAGGGAGAAAAGGAAAATGTAGTCTAATCTCTTTCAAATAGTGTTTTAAATACACTAATCAGAGTGGCAGGAGATTATAATGAATCATATAATCTCTATGTATTTAAGAATAAATTTTCTTAACACTCTTACAACTGTATAATTAGCATACCCTGGAGTTAATTGTTTAAAGAAATTGTACAATCGAAAAAAAATTATAAAACACGTGAAGAGTTGAAGAAAAACACAAGTGATGACATGAAATTAACTTTTTCTAATAAGTGGGTTGAGATAGTGGTAAGGCAAAAGAAAGTGAGTGCAACCTTTGCTTGCAAGTGATGGCAAGTTCAAGCATTTCTTTATCCAGTCTGGACACTGGAAGGATAGCTCCAAGGCAGGTTCTTGCCAACCTAAGTTGGACCTAATGAGAAGGTGCAGGAACCGGGCCCTCCAGTACTTAGTCATAGTCATGCAACTCTCTGATTTTGCGGACTTTGGCACAGCAAATGCTTCCTTCCATATTGTCCTAAGTCCTTCAAGTTGGCAGTATCCCAAACCAGAACAATTGAGACTTTAAGATATAAATGTAGGTATGTTTTCAGAATTTTTAAAGGAGCAATAAAAGAAAGGCATGCTAATAGCTATCCAATTACATACTTCATGCATATAATAAGAGATATTTCTAATATTTTCTGAAATTCTTACAATAATCTTGGGAATTAATATCCTCATTTCTTATATGAGAAATTCATCTTAGAATTAGCTAAGGGGCAGAAGAGCCAGCACTCAGATCACATCCATCAGCTTCTAAAGCCCCTGTTCTTAACCACATACCACCTCCTATCAGCCGCATCAAGCTTATTCACCTGAGAGAAGTCACAGACCATCTATTTCCTTTCTCACTGCAAGCCCTGATTGTACTTATATTTCTAGGATTAATACGAGCTATGTGATTTTAAAGAGTATCACTTTCTTCCAGAAACTTTGTAAGATAAATTAGGACTCTTGTCAGATCTGAGGCCATACACAATTTTGTGTCTCCCCTCCTAAATTCCTTCATACAGAGATAACACTTACTCTTCGAAATACTGACAGCTTGCATTTCATTCCATTTCAGTTCAGCAAACTATCCACAAGCCGTAAGTGAGGCAGTGAAAAGGTTAGTAAGAAGAATTCAATTATAAGAAGTATCAAGACCTTTATGTCTATTAGAAACAGACAGTACACTTTATAAATATAGTTTTGCTTGTTGGAAGATAGTACAGGAGCCACATCGACATCCCTTTTCCCCTCCTCCCTCCTGACCATACACAGTGTGCTACCAATGAGGAAAGAAGCAAGCAAAGATGGAAGGAGGGAGCAAAGAAAAGGCAGCAGGGCAAGAACCATGGGAAGGCAAGGAAGAAGGAAAGAAATCTGAAAGATCACTTTCAGCATAGTAGGAAATCTGCACACAGTAGGTACTCAACAAATACTTGCTGAATTGGAAAAGTAAGGAAATACTAACAAAAAAGAGAAACAACATTTGTCAAATTTAACAATTTGAAAGTTGTAGAAAATTAATAGTTAACTAAAGGGCAGATAAAAATTTTTTAAAAAATTAAATG